CACATAGCAATCATGGTACAAACAACTATTCCGGTAACTATGGCACAAATGACCATCTAAAGACTGATGTAAATGAACCCATAATAATCATCGATAAAATGTGTCAATGAAATCACTATAATTCGGGTAGTGGTGTAAAACCGCTTACAAAAGCATTTAATTAGTGAGAGTCAGACCAAATGAGCAGTATGGATTTAAAGAAATCGTTTAAATTATGCATTATTGTAGGATTGATTGTGCAATGTTGTATTGTATCAATGAATATCTAATTTATTAATAGTTTAGAATTAATGCGCGAATTGAAGCATAAAATATTGATTAATAAAACTCAAATTTTATGAATAATATAATTCATATTTTTGTACGTACAAATAGCGCCAATATAATTATAAAAAAAAATCGTATTCTTGTCTAATCTTATTGAGCGCTGTTTATATTTATAAAAGCAAAAAAAAATAAAACAAAAACGACAAAAAAAATTAAATTTGTAAAATGGATTATCTTTACTTAGAGTGAGAATTCTCCGAATTAAGTTTTCTGCTCGCCTAAGATATACTGGTTATATTATCAATTTTGCGTATTACTTTTTTAATGTAGCTTTTTATGCTATTACATCCGTACATGTATTCTATCAGTCTAGGGCTAAGTGAATCGCTTGACGATGAACGTTACTTGTCATTAGTTCATAGGAAATTTTCTACTCTTTCGATGAATGTATAATTTATATTTGTCACATATTCGTTAATGTAATGAGATGAAGAAGAAAGAGAAAGAATCGTGCAATAAATTTACAATATTCATATGAATTCGTCAAAAAACATCTAGTAGATGGTAGTTAAGTGTAATTAACAGTCGTTGAACAAGCTGCTTTTAATAAGTTCATAAAAGTCGAAGTAACCATCGTTTTATAAGGGTTTTTTGATGAGTACACAAAACTCAAAACTAATTATTATCTAACAAGACGAATTGATTGTATAAAAGTTGCAAATGTATTGCGACAATCTCTCTCTTTCTTCTTCGTCTCATTTCATTTACGGATATGTGACAAAAATAAATCATACACTGTGCGAAAGAGTAGAAAATTTTCCATCACCTAATAACAAAGTTCTCTTTTCAAAACCTGTTTATTGAAGAGCTATTCAAGAGATATAGAAATCAATATTTTGTGTCATTTTTCTCAATTCCATGAAAAGTACGGATTCGTTTTTTGAAGATGTCTCTCTTTTTAGTTGCTTCGTGTTGTTTACAAACATATTATGAAAATAACTAATATACGATTCAAAAGAGGAGAAAAGCTCTATCTTTTGATAAAAGTAGATTTTCTTTCAGTACTCTTCTATTGAAGAGAAAAAGGGATCAATATTTTGTGCCATTACTTTTGCATCGTATGATATGTTTCAATTCAGCTATTTTATCAATATGTTTTAACGTTTATCATTACGTTCATTGTATCGACGTACACGTAAAAATTGTATCAACTGTTAAACCTATATACCTGATCGCTTGGACGTACATCTCATGACCGATAACTCCGATAGATGGCTTTCGGTTACTTTTTATTTCGGCTATGAACTGTCTATTTTAAGAAAATATTTGAATTGTATACAACTTCGTTGAAGAATAAAATACATCATCTTGACAAACCGATTACAGACTCAAATATTTCGAACTTGAAAATCTGTTGTCACACTTTATAGACAACTCTTACTTTCTCAAATTATTCTACTTACATTGGAAACGTTTTAAGCCTCAATGTAAGACCTTTTTTATCATAGAGTTCGAGAAATAAATACATAGATTCGGATTCCTTGACTCCAACAAAAAATCTTATGAAATCATCAGTAATAGGACGTATATGATCTGTCTTCAGCTGAATATAAACTACTAAGCTGCAGGTACTACCTAGCATTGACTTATCAAAGTGTAAGTAGCACCATTTATCATTTACTGGTAAGTGCTAATAATTGCAATGCAATGACTAATAACTAATCGACAAAGAAATCATTTATTATTAAGGAATAAGTAGTTTTTTGACTATAAAAAGACTTACTATAACTTTGCTAAATGAAAGTGAAAGTAACAATAAGTATGATAAATCTTAGTTGTTTGAAATAGTTGTATCTAAACGAGTGAAATGTCTGCTTCGAAATCGAGTTTATATATGCTTATTTTGAAGTGAGCAACGTGAATCATTGATGTTTCTTTTTTCGTTTGCTTACGAGACAGAACATTATTTATACATCGCTCTTATCATATATTTTATTTCTTCTCACCTTTCATACACATGAATGATTTTGTCGCTCTGTTTCATGCAACTGAAGGCAATCTTGAATATATAAATCATCATTTTTTTCCTACCATAATTTTCTTTGTGACTCATTGTATATTATGTATAACTTTATTCAAGCAAGGAAAAATAGAAAACAATGAATAAGAAACTATTAAAAAACAGAAAACAAATTGAATTTTTTTAGTAGTTAGAAAGTATCGAATTGAAGATATACTCAAGAAAAATATTCATAATAAAAATCAAATTATTTTTCTATCAGATTTCGAGTACTTTTGATCTGAATATTTGTGAAATTCACTATAAAATCTTATAGACATCATCCATTTACGGTCACCATCTTATTTTATAGACACATATTATCTTTTATGTACAGAAACTCCAAAGCCTCCAAACTTCGAGAAGAGTAAACTTTTATCAAAAATACTGAAGTTTTAGAAACTAGCTCAAAATCTAATAACATAGCACAGATAATTTCAGAATTGACTATAAGTTTCATAACAGTTTTCTTGACAGTATGTTCGAAAATATCCCAATTTCTAAGAAATCTTAGTAAATACGGACATTTCTGTGTGTGTGTTGAACAAAGATATCAATATTATTTCATATGAAAAGAATGATACTAACTTTTAAACTATTAGTTACTATCAAAAATCATTAAAACAAAACTGAAAAATTTTAAAAAAATTGAGTAAATACGGATATTAGCCTATACCCTGA